TAAGAGTCCCGCCCTGACTACTACTTGAATTTGTTTCACGGTAGCTCCGTGTTCAAATCCTCGGCCACGCTTGTAAATATCCAACTGGTTTGCCTCCGGCCAGTTGGGATTCTTAACAATGTTAGGTTTAATTTGAATTATTTGTTTCAGTTGTTTGCTCGGCCCCACTAGCACTTGTTTGCTATAAACACTGCCGAGGGTAAAATAAAGATTTTTTTATTTATTTAGTTATTTTTTTAAGTGCTTACTGATGAAAACTTTTCTAGAGGTTTTGAGAACATTGAAATAAAAACTTCTTCCATAGAATTGTTATAAAACAATAACATGGGATTGTATAATATTTTAAAATTAGAGTAACTACTACCTGTGTTCAAAAAATTTTAGAACAACACGAAAGTTATATTTAAAAAAAGAAAATAGCCCTCATTATTAGCGCCCAACACGAGCGATTTTTTCGCCCGCAAGAAGGTATGAGTCCTTGAGCAAAGCCAGCCGGTGGTAGGTCAGCAAGGAGTCTGGCACTGCCTCATAGTGAGGCGTGAGTAGTCCAGTGGTCAGTGCGCTGGACTCTGGGTCGGTAGGCCCAGGTTCAAGTCCTGGCTGGGGCATGACGTTGTGTCCTTAAGCAAGATGCTTCGCTCACAGACGTAAAACCGTAGGTCCTGTCTACTGCAGGGTCAGGGGCAGGAGACGTAAATTTCCCATGCACGAGATAACTGTGTAGTGGATGTCCTCCCCGGGGTGGGATGAGTGGGAAGGTGAGATCGCTACATGGACTGGAGCGGCTGCCAGAGGCGCCTGATAAAAATGCTGACGTCCGATCTCAACCTCACGATACTGTTAGGCACGACTGAATATATCCACATAGAAGTTTGCGCTATATAAATGTAATGTAAATGTAATTGTTAGTGCCAGATCCCCCCCTGTAAACTTCTCCCCGACTCGCTCAAATCTTCCCGTAGGCTGAGAAACGCACGTCTTACGGCGATAATGAGGTTTTCTCACAGGCTCATTTTATTGGTGGGTGTTTCTGTTTTAGTCTCCAACTGTTACTATGAGGAAATTGGAAGAGACTTCAAACCAGAAGTAAGTAATTAGAAAAAAAAATTATCGCCGTGTAACTGTCTGGCAACTGGCTACAAAACCTTGATTGGACAAGTGACTGAAATTTGGGTCTTCTTTATTCTTACCATGTTACGACAAGGTCTTCCGAGTGTCAGGATGCGTTTTTATTGCTGAATTTTCCTTTTGAAATATTCATCGAAATCAGTCAGATGTTCCAACTCATTGCTTTTCCTTGCAGGTTTATTCGAAACCTTCTGTATTTCTACAAACCAAGTAGTCAACGTTTTTGCACGGTTCACATATCAGACCCTCAAGCCAGAACATTTTCTGAAGTCGGCTGCCTGGTCATAGACTTCCTCCTTGATGGCGAAGATGTAAGATGCAATTTTTATTCCAAACTTAGTAGTGTGAAAGGTTTGTGGTGGGGATGTGTAAATAATCAGGCATAGTAGCGTGAACATGTATTAATGTCTGTCTGTCTATGTTTCTCTTTTGTTTCTTTGTTTCTTTGTTAATTCAGATAGTATACACCACTTTCAAAAATGGCTACTGGATTGATATTCTTTTGTTTAACTTCAAATTAGCCTCACTAGCCTCGCTTGAGATAATGCATTCTTTTGAATTTTGAACTGGAGAACGAGGCCAGAAAGACTAATTTAAATTTAAACAGAAGAATATCAATCCGGCAGCCATTTATGAAAGTGGTCAATGGTTTGATTGAAGAGTATAATTGGCTTTTAATCAAGCCAGTCTCTATTTGTCCACGTGTCTGCCTGTCTGTCCGTCTGTTTCTGTGTATCTGTCTGTGTGTCTGTCTGTCTATCTGTGTCAGTCTGTCTGTCACTCAGTCTCAGTCTTTCAGTCATTCTCAGTCTTTCAGTCAGTCTCAGTCTTTCAGTCAGTCTCAGTCTTTCAGTCAGTCTCAGTTCTTCTGTCAGTCTCAGTCTTTCAGTCAGTCTCAGTCTGTCAGTCAGTCTCAGTCTTTCAGTCAGTCTCAGTTCTTCTGTCAGTCCCATTCTTACAGTCAGTCTCAGTCTGTCAGTCAGTCTCAGTCTTTCAGTCAGTCTCAGT